GCAAGACTCAACAAAGTTAAAAACATTGAAATACAGCAAAGCATCTTCTCAGATCAAAAGTGAGTCACCAGCACAATAACACTAAGGAAAAGGAAGACACAGAGAGGTGCAAAAGAGGCACAAACAACAAAAATAAACACTTTGACACATGCACAATACTGGATTATCAGTAACACCAAACATTAATCTATGAGTGGACACATAGGTAGGCTGAATGACCAGGAATGTCTAGGCAGAAGAGAATACAACCATGACCATATATAAGTTCGGTAGGCAATATTTCTACATACATATTTGTATGTGCTATAAGAATGTCCATATAGATAATAGAACCAAAAGGAGGCAAAGTTATGACACCTTCTTAGCTTATCAAAAGACTTCTCCAAAACATTAAAAAGAGAACATACAGACTGGGGAAAGAAAATTTAGCAACAACATATCTGATAAGGTATTAATCTCCAAAATTTATAGAAAACTTTGACACCTCAACAACACAAAGGCAAACAACCAAAATTAAAACACAAGCAAAAGACATGAACAGATACTTCACCAAAGAAGACATTTGGGCGGCCAACAAATACATTTTTTAAATGCTATCATTAGCCATTACAGAGATGCAAACTAAAGCAACAATGAGATATCATTTCACCTTGCCACTGAGAGCAATGATTGAAAAAAACAGAAAACAACAAATAGTAGGGAATGGAGAGAATGGAACTCTCATATACTGCTGGTGGGATTATAAAATGGTACAACTACTGTAGGAAACAGTGTGGCTTCTGTTCTGGTTACCAAGTACCACTCAGACAGAAATATACCATAAATGGGATGGCCTTAACAAACAGGAGTTTATTCTCTTACAGTTTGGAGGCTTTAAGTCCAAGTTCAAAGTGCCAGGCTCTAGGGGTTGGGTGAAAGCCCCTTAAGCTCTGCCTCCAACTCCTGGCCCACTGAAGCTACAGGCGTTTCTTCACTAAGCTGCTGGCTGCTGAGGCTGACAAGCCCAAGGTTGACAAGTAAAAAGGCACAGTCCCGATGTTACCAAACCACACAGCAGGCCATTAATTCAAGTCCACTGTAAGTCCCAAGGTCAGCAGACTTGTGGATCCAAGTGTGCCATAAGCTTGAGACCATTCCCCAAAGCATCTGCTTATATACAGGAAGCAGACCACAGTCTAGGCAGCTACTCAGCTGCTCACAGTAGATACCACCATGGAGTTGATGACCAGTCTCATCACGCAGAATACTACCACCAGCTGCCCAGCCACTCAACCAGGCCCAGCCAAGTTGACATACAACCATAACCACCACAGCTTTCTTAAAAAGTTAGAGAACAGATACCAACAATCCCACTGCTATATACATATCACAGAGACAAAAGAGCCATGACAAGGATATATGCACAATCATGTTCAGTGCAGCACTTCACAATAGGAAAAAGATGGAAACAACCAAAGTGCCCATCAATGGATGAATGGATAAATAAACTATGGTACATACACACAATGGAATACCATGTAATATTAAAGAATAACAATGAATCCTTGAAGCGCCTCCATGGATGAACCTGGAGGACATTATGCTGAATAAAATAAGCCAATCACAGAAGGACAAATACTGTATTTGACCACCACTTTAAAAAGTCAAGGAAAGGTTTACACACAGAAAGAAACATTCTTTGATGGTTACCAGGGATGGGAGTGGAAAGAGGGAAAATTACTAACTAGAGAGTACACATGTATTAACTTGGATAAAGGGAAAGGCAATATATAATAAGGGGGAGAGCGGTACAATATAACCAAGGCAAAGGAAGATACTAGGAAGTATACAAGAGAACAAAGCAACAATGGTAAATACTGTTACACACAAAATCCTACAATAACAGTAACAACAAACAATAATTTACAAGTGGATCTGCAAGCTAAACAAGTGTGGGATGGCATATGGGAGTATACCACAGAGCTATGATGGGTTTGGTTCCAGGCCACCACAATAAAGCAAATATCACAATAAAGCAAGTCATACAAATATTTTGGTTTCCCAGTGCATATAAAAGCTATATTTACACTATATGGTAGCCTAGTAAGTGTGCAATGTTGTTGTTGTTAGGTGCTATGAAGTTGGCTCTGGCTGGCAGTGACCCTATGTACAACAGAACGAAACAGTGCCTGGTCCTGCACCATACTCACATTCCTTGCTATGTTTGAGCCCGTCATCACAGCCAGTATGTCAATCCATCTTGTTGGGGGACTTCTCCTTTTACTCTGACCCTCTACTTTACCAAGCATGACATCCTTCTCCAGGGACAAGTCCCTTCTAATAACATGACCAAAGTAGGTGAGATGAAGTCTGATCATTCTCGCTTCTAAGGAGCATTCCGGCTGTACTTCTTCCAAAACAGATTTGTTAGTTCTTCTGGCAGTGTATATAATATTTTCAATATTCTTTGCCAAACAGCCCAGTTCAAGTGCATCAATTCTTCAATCTTCTTTATTCATTGTTCAGCTTTCACATGAATATGAGATGACTAAAAATACCAGGCTTGGGTCAGGCCTTAGTTTTCAAAGTGACATCTTTGCTCTTTAACACTTTAATATGTCTTTAGCAGCAGATAGTATCCTGCAATATGTCATCTGATTTCTTGACTGATGCTGCCATGAGTGTTGATTGTGGATCCAAGTAAAATGAAATCCCTGACAAATTCAGTCTTTTCTTCATTTATCATTATGTTGCTTATTGGTCCAGTTATAAAGATTTTTGTTTTCTTTATGTTGAAGTGTAATCCATGCTGAAGGCTTTATGTAGTCTTTGATCTTCATCAGTAAATGCTTCAGGTCATCTTTACTTTCAGCAAGCAAGGTTGTGCCATCTGCAAATTGTAGGTTGCTAATGATTCTTCCTCCAATCCTGATGCCATAATCTTTTTCATATAGTCCAGCTTCTCAGATTATTTGCTCAGCATACACATTGAATAAGAATGATGAAAGGATATAACCCTGTCGCACAGCTTTCCTGATTTTAAACCACTCAGTAGCCTCTTGTTCTATTTGAACGACTGCCTCTTGGTCTATGTACAGGTTCTTCAGTTAGTGTGCTGGAATTCTCTTTCTTCACAATGTTATCCATAATTTGTTATGATCCACAAAGCTGAATGCCTTTTCATAGTCAATAACCTTTGCATAGTCATGTCTTTGACTATGCATTATTAAAAATTAAAAAATTTGACAGTATTATTAAAAATTTGGAATAACATGAGAATCACCAAAATATGACACAGAGACATAAAGTGAGCACATGCTATCAGAAAAGACAGCACCAATAAAGGATTGCCACAAACCCTCAATTTGTAAAATATGAAAGTGCAATAAAATAAGGTATGCCTGTATAGGTTTGGTAGAGGACATTTCTACACACATATTTTTACATGTTGCAAAGATATGCATATATATAATATAGTAAAAGAACATCATGCTTGGTAAAGTAGAGGGTCAGCAAAAAAAAAAAAAAGACCCTCAACAAGATGGATCGACATAGTGGCTGTAACAATGAGCTCAAATGTAGCAACAATTGGGAGGCTAGTGCAGGCCTGGGCACTGTTTCATTCTGTTGCATATAGGTCGCTATGAGTTAGAATCAGCTCTCAGCACATAACAACAAAGACACATATAGTGGAGCACGCAGGGGCAAAGTTATGAAACTTCTTAGCCACTCCCAAACACCCTGAAAGACTAAATCACTGGGCTATGAGCTTAGGTCCATAGTCTCAGAGGACATCTAGATCAATTGGCATAACATACTCTAACTGAGCAGCCCTCTAAGATATAACTTTTGGTCTTACCCCACCCAGAGCAAAGAAGAGCAAAAGAAAATCAAAGACTCAAGGAAATAATCAGTCGAAGGGACTAATGGACCATACAAACCAGATCTACCACTAGCCTGATACCAGAAGAACTAGATAGTGCCCACCTATTACTACCAAACGCTCTGATCTTGATTAAAAATAGTAAAAATCATAAAATCATAAAATTAAAAATGATAAAAAAAGACTAACCTCACTGATCTGATAGAGACTGGTGGAACCCTCGAGACCATACCCCTTAGAGGCTACGGAACCCTTCCAAACCTGGAAATGAACCTACCCCTCCTGGTCACCTCTCATCCAAACAAGAGACAGGACTACAAAGTGAACAACAGCACCTGTGAGGAACATACTCATCAAAACATCAACCACACGAAGCCAAGAGGTCAGTTTTTGCCCAAAAATGAAGTTCAGAAGGCAGAAAGGAACAAGAAAGGACAAATGGAAATGGAAAACCCAGAGAGGAAGTAAGAAAAGTGCTGCTACATTGAGGGACTTGCAACTAATGTCACAAAACAAAATGTGTATAAATTGTTGAATGGGAAACTAATGTGCTCTATAAACTTTCACCCAAACCAGAATAAAATGTTCAAAAAACCTATGGATCACATTTCAATTCTGACATACACGAGGTCACTGAAAGTCAGAATCAACTCAACAGCAATTGAAAAACTAAAACTTCATAATCGTCATTCTCAAATATTTTAGTTATATGACCATCAAGAAAATTGGTAATGCCTTTCTCTGTTGCTCTTCTGTATTGATTTCTTAAATATTAACAATTGAAGAACATAGCACATGCTCCTTTAACATTATAAAGAAATTATTTGAGCATAATCTCAATATCCTTTTGTGAAAAATGAGCTACTTATCAAGACCCATGGAGGTGAGCAGATCATCTATTCTACCTACCTACTTCTCTCTGTCATCCTGAATAAACAAAACAAAGCAAAAACCTGATCAATAATATTAATAATATGAACTGAGAATGATGAAAATGTGTTCTTTATGCAAAACAGCACATCTTGCTACTAGCAGAAATACATGAAATATTCTATTTTTCTAGTTCTTCTGGGAAAAATTAAGAACTATATTAACCAAAAAAAGGAAAAAAAATTAAAAAGAAGGAACTTTAAAATACCTATTAGATTGACTCTTCCAGGTGCTCGAACATAAAACTTGGGAAAGGATCCAAACTTAGAGTTAAACATCTCTTTCAGCTTCAGCAATCTGAAAACAAGAGTAAAATGTCTCAGACCATCATTTAACAGAAAATACATAAGATAAACATATATACATACACAGAGACATTTCATACACCTGACATTAATTTTTCCTAAAAAATAAAAGCAAAATCTTCTGACACACTTCCTTGAAAACCCCAGAGCAAAACAGTATTATAACATCCTTAGTAACATGGCAGTGAGTTTTTGGTTTTTTGGCTTGGTTTTGGAAATAAGAATATAGCCAAGTCATGCCTCCTACCATACACAAAACACAATTCAAGATGGATTAAGGACCTATGCAAACTAAAACCATAAAATTCTTAGAAGAAAAAGCAGGGCAATGTTGTTAGGTCTAGCTTTTCACAATGAGTGGTAATGTAATAACAAAAGTACAAACAGCAAAAGACAAAATTAAAAAATGGAAGCTCATAAATATTAAAAATGTTAATATTTTTTATTTATTTATTATATTATTCATTTTTGTCACTACCCACCAGCCACTCCTCGGAAGGAAGATGGGGCAATCTACTTCTGTAGTGATACTGCCTCGG